GATAAAGCACCAATTCCGTGGATAAAAACGTATTTAGTCCACGCTCAATGCTATCGAGATTATTCTCTAGAAATTCACGGGCCAGCTGTAGGAGCAGCTGCATCGCCGGCCGATCGAAGTATTTCACGAGGGCATCAAGCACATCCAATAAACTGGTCTGATGGCCAATGTGCTCCACAAACTTCGGGCCAAGGGATTTGCCGACGGCATCCACATTCAAATGCAGCTGCCCTTCGCTATCCCGACTGATCAGCGTCCCTGAAATGGAAGCTAGAGTGGCTGCACCTTCCCGCAAATGCGTGTACGAGTTGTGCAGGCCCAGCAGTGTCTCCTTAAACGGTATATCATTCAGGGTGCGCACCATGTCGAAATGCTGCCCAGGAACGTGGCCATTCAGCTTCGACGACTCCTTAGCGATCTGGCCAAAGGTTAGTCTGCAAGCAATTAAATCTTGTTAATAAAAGACATTTGTTGTATGATTTACACAACAACCTGGCTTGCTGGTTCACCGCTTGCCTCAAGGATTGTCCATTTGTTAAACGGTTGACGAGGCGCAGATTGTTTATGGAGTGCGTAAAGATCAGCAGACTGGCGGCTATGTGGAGCACATCGATGCTGCATAGAGGCTGGTCCTCGTTGATTTTCTGCAAAGGAGAGAGCGGAAGAATAGTTAAGATGAGGCCACTTTAAATGTCCCACGATTGTGTGAGAGTTTGTTTATGTCTAAAACAGTGTAGAATGCTCTGCTAAGAGCTCACAACTTAACAGTGAACTGTTACAATACGCTATTCTGCACAATGTAAATAGCAGAGCAGAGTCTATAACAGAGTAAAATGCATGTACACCACATTATATGTATAACATAATTATATATATGTACGTAGGCAGACAAACAGTGTATAATAGATAAGATGACATCAACGCATGACTCACCAAATACAAATCGTATACGCTGTTGGCCACACCTGTGCCCGATAGAACAATGGACGACACATTGATGCCCTTCACGGCTAGCTGAGCAGCTGCATTCACCTCGGCGCTCGCTGCACACAGAGCTGTGGTGGCTTCCATGGCGCCCAGGCCGACGACGCCGCCAGCTACGCCCAGCCAGCTGTTACGTGACTCTCGCTCACGCAACGACAGAGATTGACAGTGTTGGCGGCGATCATAAAGGCAACTGATGGAACGTGCGGTACTGTAAGCAGCCGCAGTGGCGCCCACTACGGCGGCTGCCATCAAAATAGGGGGAGCCACGGGGACGGCCAGAGCAGCCGCCACGGGCACGCTAGCAGCCAATCCACCAACTGTAGCCAAAGCATCGCCAGCTTTATATATAAGACCAAATGATGCAGGCGTCGCATGGACCATTAGATGTACTCCATTATCGGGATCATGACCGAACCGATAGATGCCCTGGCTGGGGGCAATCATTGTGCCCTTCGGTAGTCTGTTATGGAAGACATATTGCCTCCAGTTCGCGTAAACACGACCATGCTCATCGATGAAGATCATGCAGCAGTTGTCGCTATTCTCGTAATCCTCTCTCAAGCATTTGCGAGTCCGTATTACAGGATGACAGCTGAAATTGGTGGATCGTAGCGCCTGCTCTGGATCCTTTTCTGGTGTCACCAGCACGTAGATAATCGCCGAAAGCAACATGCGATTCGTATATCGCCTCTGTTGCCACACATTCTCAAAGACCTTCTGTCGCTGTCGCTCCAAACTTTTGCTGGGCTCTGTGCTATCCGCATTGATGAGGTTCGCAATCTTTTGCTTGAGCACCTCCTCCTGATCAGCTGCAAGACTACAAAACACCACATTAAATGCTTACATGTTACATACGTATATATTTCATTAGCTTACGCATCCCAAATTATTTCAGAGTGTAATCCACTGCTCAGTGCAAAGTCCTGTTGCACCTCGTACACGGTGCGCGTCATTATTTAATTACATAAAACGTATCACGAATATGTATAATATACTCGATCATCTGTTTTTTTTGTTATTCGTCTGGTTGCCACGACAACTGTTAGCTGAGTGAAGGCGTTACAGATTTGATGAATGTTTGTATGCGATTAACAATGTACATACATATGTACATACCTGATATGTTTATTATATTTAAATTACATCCCTGTTCTTAAATTTCAGTGGTTGGCGCGCGCCTATTCCCTTTGATAGCAAATAATAAAATTCTGAACACAGGGCCTCAAAAAATTTTGGAAATATTTCGATTAAAAGGTAGATAGAACAATCGATACTTTATAAACAGGCTATATTTGATTATATCATGATAACAATATATAATTTTAAATATATATATATGATATATTGTATATTCAATTCCAATTCGATTGGTCGCCCATTTTATTTTAAAACGATACCAAGTACATAACTAGCATTGATCGATACCATTCAAATTCAATGTGTTATTGCGATATCTTAGGCTCATCGATATAATTTGTATAGCCCTGGCATTTTGTTTATAACTAAATACGCGCAATCGCCGGACACAGTTATGCGCTAGACTCGATGCATATTTTGCCGTTTAAATTCAATTAAAGCAACTAAACACTGGATAAACTAAGACAAAAGTGCACTCAACACAGCAAAGCCAACTGCATTTACGTAAGAATAACATAAGTGCGCAGTGTGAAAAAAACTTGTAATTGAATATTTCGCGTTGTTGGCCAAAAACACACACGCACGAGATACCAAGAACAAACCTACCTACACTTGTGCGTTTCAACACATATTAAATGTATAAATAAATAAATGTATGTGTATACATAGGCGGCACGCAACTAACAATTGACATTGTGGCCACCACCTGTTTGTTTATGACGGCGGCAAAAACTTAAGATATTAACAAATCAAATCACTCATACACGCTATAGGTAAAAAGCCCGTATGCATGTGTCATATATACATTTATATGTATAGTTGTTGTTGCTGCTGTTGATAATAATAAATAGTAGTAGTGTAATTCAGGCTCATGCATGTGCATAACCCCATGCGCAGTTAAATAGCGAAATAAAAGAAGAGGAAGAGTGTAACCTACTCGCTGGTCGCGTGTCTAATTTACATCATCTTATTTATGGCTTCAAATGCGCAGCTCGGAAAAATCATTTTGCTAATCGCGATTGCCGTATTTTTCTACTACTTCTTCTGGGTGGCAATACTGCCATTTATGATACTCGATGAAGGTGAGTATCAAAACAAACATGAATACATGTGATTGCGTATGTGTGTGTACTTCAGTACATTTGTACTTACATATGTGTTTGGGTGTGTGTCAATATTATTGTTAGCTTTATTAAATAATCTCAGCTTTCATCCGTTTCAGTTTCGCGGCTTTTGTGCGGTAATTAAAGTTGCACAGATTAAATTCGTTTGATTCGTTTCAATTACAACTACATAGATATAGGCATATGTTGTACATATGCTGATATATACAGTTACCCCCGTCCCTATACTCTCTGTCACTATCTTGGTTTCTCTCCCCTACCTTTCTCCCTTTTTCTGATGATATAAGGTGTGTGCCTTGATACCCTGAACCTATCGAAATTGTATGAGACGGGTTTGATGATTTTGTGTGGAAAGCGGAAAATTAAGAAATTTAAAATATGCGAAAATAATAAATAATAACAATTAAGAACGTGGGTATATGGTACCAATTGTTATCTATATAGATATATATATATATGACATACCATGAATGTAGTTCTAGCTTACCTAAAACTACTGAACCGTACAAATGGCTAAAAATGTGTATGATTTGCTTATCAGCCGTGCCGTTTCCTATTATTTCTGCAGCGATCGGCTGTTGTTGCCGCTGAGAGCAAAAAGATAACGAATATTTTGTTGAAGTAAAAGGCGAACAGACATCAGAAATAGAGAGGTCTAAACAAAATCAAATTTTTGTTTACATTGTTTTACAGCGCTCTGTTATTTAACAACATTAAACAACAGTGAATAAGCAGTTTTATCCTGTTAACTAACACTTTTCATCCTTCTACTCATTTCTGTTCGCCTAGTACTTCCAAATCTTCTATAGCTATTTTGAGAAGAAGTAGGGTGCATATCTCCTCCCGTCGAAGATGATGATGTCCTACACGCTCTGTTGGGGAAGCGCTTTAATCTGAAAATATAAGAGATATTTAAGAAGAGATATTTAGAACTGTTTTATGTTAATTCAATACGGCTTAGTATAGATTTATACTTACCTCTGATGGCTCACGATTAATGCACGTACTTAGCTTTTTAGATCAAAGCAAGAGAATACTCTCCTAGTAAAAACAAAAATATAATATATATTGTTAATAATAAATAAATTTAATTTATGCTTTATTTCTAAATTTCTGTCTCAAATTCTACCTGTTTCTATCTCTCTATTCATTCCGTACCATATCTCTCCCTATGTCCCTATTTCTCTCCATACTTCTCGCTCTCTCTCCGTCTGTCTCTCTGCTTATATTTATCTTTGTCCAACTCTCTATTTATATTTTCCTTGCTCACATCCTAGGGTATTTAGCAGTCGATCACAGTCTAATTGAATACACTTGGCTTTCTGTGTTTACTCATAGCTTTCAATTAGCTGGAATGCAATAAATATTTGTATATTTTCTTACTCATGTGCACTTAACTGTGTTTGCAGTGTATCTTATGCTCCATAACACCCCATCTATATTGCTTTTGCGTTTATCACTTAAATTACATGCGGCCAATGTCAAGGTCGTTTGACCACCTTGCTCTCAACTAGCTAACTCTCTCTCTCTCTCCCTCTCTCTTTTGTTTCTTATCTGGTACTCTGGTCTCTATCTCTCTCTCTCTCTCTCTCTCTCGCAGGTAATCCCATATTGTCACTGTTTCCGCCGCTGAGATACGCATTTATCGTGCCGACTGTATTTGGGGTCATCTGCCTGGGCGGCATTGCCGTATTCAGCTTCTATCACATTTGGAGCATTACGGCACAATCGAAGCGAACTTAAAGATCAGACCCCAAAGACAGATGAGGCGAGCTTAGCTGCGACGTCAGCAAAGAGGATCGACGACGTCGGCATTATCAGCGATTGAACGATTACAAGTGGCTTTCGGCTGTTAGCTGTCGGCTTGCGGCGCATTGGAGCTCAGTTGGAGACAAGATGCCGCAGTGGCTGGTCATTGGCATCTCGGGTGTCACGTGTGGCGGCAAGACGACGCTGGCGCACAGTTTGCGCGACTACTTCAAGGGATTGCGCAATGCGCCGCTCTGGAACACGCCCTATACCATTGGCGATGTGCAGCTGATCTCACAGGACGACTACTTCCTGCCCGTGGACGATAGACGACACAAGCGCGTGGACAAATTGAATGCCATCAACTTTGAGCTAATCACGTCGCTGGACACGAAGCAAATGCTGACGGACATTGCGCACATTATCAATGGGCCCTCGGAACAGATTGCTAACTATGCGAACTTTGAGCACTATGCGCTGCAGTACCAACAGCAGCAACAGTTGCAGCAACAGCAGCAGCATCAACAGCAACAGCAGCAGCATCAACAGCAACAGTTGCAGCAACTGCAACAGCAGCAGCAACAGCAATATAATGCCAGCTATCAGCTGCATAACGGTAAACACCTGCCACCTGCTGCTGCTGCTGCTGCTGCCTATCAATATCAGCAGCAACAGTTGCAGCAACATCAACAACAGTTACATCACACGCATCGGCAGCACCATGCGGACCATCTAATGCGCCTCAATATCAATGCTCAGATCGCTGCGCAGTTGCGCGATAAGAAAATCAATGTCCTACTCATCGAGGGCTTCATGATCTTCAATCAACCCGAGCTGCTGGCGCTTTGCAATATCAAGTATCACTTCCACTTGCCGTACGAGAAGTGTTATCAGCGTCGCATTCAGCGCACCTATGATCCGCCCGATGTGACGGGCTATTTTGAGCTGTGCGTCTGGCCCCACTATGAGAAGAACTTTGCCGAGTACCGCGACTGCAAGGATATCACGTTCCTCAACGGCGAGATCAGCAAGGAGAAGATCTTCAAGTTTGTGCTCCAGCGCATTGTCCACTATTTCGAAGAACGCTGCGATGTGCCCACCGCCTCCCCGATCGCCTGTCCGCCCCAGCAGAAGCGTTTCGGCATGCTCTACATGGCCTCAGCATCCAGCAATAATAATCACCTGCACACCGCGTGTCCCATGGAACAGTAGCCAGCTGGCACTGGGCTTAGGCAAATCGCAGAGGGTAGTCTTGAAAGTTTCCAAAGTCGGGAGATAGATTGAAGGATTTCATGTTAGCTATCAATTAACCCTCGCATGTAAAAAGCTAAATCATGTACATTTAAAGTCTATAGAATTCTATTTAGTTCTGTATTTAGTTATTTTCCATTAGTTCTAAGCACATGGACACATTCTCTGTAGAGTCTAAAACGGGTTTGTGAACAAAAAAACAAAAATGTTGAAAATAAAAGGTTCAGGAATATATATTTAGCTGTGCTAATTAATATATATATCTAGATATAGTATATACTACTATATAGAAATCACATGAATGAAATTCAATATATTATATACTTATATATTATTTATGTCTTGAAATGAAAAGCTTAGCCTCAACTGTAAATATTATAATGTATCATATTTAACTGTATAAGATTATGGACCTCTTCAGAAACTAAAACTAAAACTCTAGTAATTTTTTTTTCTTGTGCGAAACAAAACACACACCGAATTCAAATATACGCTATATATTTACACCTGAAAAAGAAGGCAACGAAACCCTGATTTTGTTAAGATTTCTTTTATTTAATTTAATTTTTATTTCTTGTATTGCATTCATTTAGCGCTCACATGGAGTTCTTTGATGTGTGGGGGGAACGGATTAACGGCTTGAGTGCGTGCCTCGGAACACAAATATTGAAAAAATAAATACATATATGTATATATATATGATTATATATATATATCATGTCTAAGTAGCATGTACGATTATCATGAATATACAGTACTCTCTCGAAGGGTTTGATTAGCTCTGCATGCACGAATTTATTGCCAATGGGTTTGAATGAGTAGCTTAGTTGGTGCCGACTACGGCTTGGATTCGATTATATCAATTTGTCAACTATATATGCTTAGAAATATGTTAATAACTTTATGCTTAAATATGCGGGTCACGCTGCAAATCCCAAATGGCAGCTGTAAGGAAACAAGGAAAAATCGCATTTAGTCTAAAGTCGAATCATTTATTTATTGGAACGCTATATTTATGTCAACGCACCTTAGAGCGCATCCCAGTCGGTTTGACTATTGTATACCTCCTCCTCTAGCCAAACGGCGTAGTTGGCCTTAAAATAATCAGTTAGCTCCACCTTGCGATCCCACCAGCCGGAATGGCCAAAGAATGCAAAATCTGAGTGCGTCAGTATCTCATCGCTGGGAAAGCCACCCTCGACGCCATAATCGTGCAGCTGCTGATTCTGTTGGCCGCTGCTATTGTTGCCAACTCCGCCACCACCGCTGCCCCCGTTGTTGCCATAGCCATTGGAGTCTCGATCGCCACTGCCATTGCCCGCGTGCATGTTCGACTGCTGTGCATTCTCGGCATTCTGTGCGGCCGTCCCGTTGTTGCCGCTGCCGACGCCGCCACCGGCGCCGCACTTCTGCGTCGCTTCTGGATAACGGCGCAAATTGAAGCGATCGACACAGGCGCGCAGCGTGCACTCCTCCGCCTGAAAGTCCCAGGGTCGCGACTCGAGATCATTGCCAAAGGCCCAATCATCGTTGAGACGATGCCGCACCTTCGCATAGATGGCACTCAGAGTCTTCATGTTGGACTTGCGCCACTGGCGACCCAAGTACTTGGTCTGCATCTTCAATAGCTTCAGCACATACAGCTGCATCATCGCGTGTCGCACCTTGAGCGTCTTCTTCAATATGGGCGCCGACTTGAACACGACTAGCATCATAACGCGCGAATGCTTCCACTTGATCAGCTTGTTGAGTATGCGCAGCAGATTGATGCAGGAGAAGACATTGCGCCAGGAGTAGGGCTTGTCCGACATCTCACCGCCATAAACAAAGCTATCGCCACTCAAGTCCGGCTGTTCGCCAATCACACACGACGGAAAGTCCAGCAATGGTATCGAATTCTTCGTGTTCACATACTCTGTAATGGTCTGATTGAAGAATTTCAGCACCAACGGAATGCAATTGGCGAACACCAAATGCTGTGACATGAACTCGAACTGGTAGACATGGTTAATCTTGAAATGCTTCAGATAGAGCAATATTATAGCGGATACAGCCTTCACGATGATCTCCTTGTGGCGTCCCATGTCGACGGTCAACTTTGTTGACTGTGTAGCCGTCAGCGGCATCTTCTTGGGCAGCACATCGGCCATGATGTTGATGCTTTCGGTCTTCGACTTGGATGTGGGCGAAGCGGCCAGCAATACCTTTAACAGTGCGATCATATACTGCGGCAAATTTGGTAGGATCGCTTGGTAGAGTATCTCGGCCGGTGTCAGTTTGATTTCATCCTCGTGCGTTGAAATTGGATTGCGTGCGATGTCCTCCTCCTTCTTGATCTGTACATCGGCCAAGCTCACGTACATGTGACGCTGCAGCGTCTTGAATCCCTCGTGAATTGGCTGCGGCAGACCTGCTAGACTCTCGTGATCGCCAATCAAAGAGTAGCCGATGAACTTGTTGCGCGATATATCTAGGAATTGATCGATATCCTTTTGGCGCACTTTCGGTGTCCAGGGCAAACGCGGCGTTATCTGCACAGCCGGCACTGTGGCTGGCGGCTGCATGTTACTTGGTTGATTGTTTGGATTAGCTGATGCAGTGCTATTGTTGCTGTTGCCCGAGGTGGAAGCGGAAGGGTCGTCGAAGGGCCGATAGTACTGGGAGAGCTCGTCCTCGCCATTGCCAGAGCCGCTTCCTGTACTTGAGTTGCCATTGTTGGCATTAGTTCCACCCTCATTGCCAGACATCTCCATGTCGATTTGCTCTGGCTCGTCCAAAAAGCGCTGTTTCATCAGTGAGCGTCTGTTTAGAAGACATTCATGAATCAATAATAGCTAAATATATATTAGGATTAAGGTAAACCTACTTGAAGTTCCGTTTTGGATATTGATTCTCTAATATATCCGTTGCTGTTGCGGGTGGCGAACTGGCGCGCATGCATTTGGTCACCTCCAGAGTGTCCTCGGTGATCGGTTCCAGCCCGACCTTCGCTCTGTACTCATTCTTGAGATTCTTCAGCACCTCCATTCCTCCAAGTCCCAGTAGGGAGACCTTCCACAGCAGCAGCACAACCTTTTTCATGGGGAACTGTGGTGCAGCACCACTGCAAAAACGCGTAATCATGCCCAGCAATTTGACGGCAAGCAGCTCACCATCGGGCAGTGGGCTGTTGATCTCCTGCACGAATGACTCGGCCAGCTGCTTGTAATCCTCGCTGCCTTTCTCCCGCTCATCACGTATTGTCTCCGTTATGATATACAGTACTGAGAGTATAACTCGGATATCAGTGGAATCTACTAGCGTCACATTTGTTATCTTCACTGCTACAATATCTGGAGAACATGCTGTTTCGATCTCCATGTTGAGCAAATCAATGAACGAGGAGAACACGCCCAGCTCATAGAGTACGATCACATTGTCGCGAGTATTCTGGTGCTGTTCCTCGTCGGATTGCACTTCGGCCCAACAGCCCTGAGCCAGATAGAGAATGCAGCGAGCTGCCTGCATGCGGAAGGAACGATCGGAGACTTCCAATTGATCCACTAGTTTCATCACAATGCTGCGTTGCGAGCTCGCGTCCTGTTTCTGCCAATTTGGTGGCAAGTCATATAGTTCCATTTGGTCCTCGAATGCCTTAACATTCATTTGGAATTCACTGAACTCCGTGTAGCTGTAAAGTTCGGCGATCTCATTTTGGTAGCTATCCACATCGGCGTAAACGAAATCTAGATCGGGGCCATCGCAATTGGCGTCCACGTCGTGAGTATCCTGCTCGAACGAATTGTTTATAGATGAAAGCATCATTTAGAGGCTGTTTATTCGTTCTTCCGGACAATCTACACCAATTATGTGTGTGTGTGTGTGTATATATGTATATTGTGAATGTGTCTGTGTGTGATTAGAAATGTGTATCCTTGTGTGGCAGTACAGCTGCAAAGGGCGCGCCCTTTTGTCACTACACTTTGCCTAAAGCGCGCATACTATTGTGCGTTAAGCACTGCATTTCTTTATAAATTTTGCAAACATAATTCTTCAGCAAACTATCCACAAAACTGAAGCACAAAAGAAGAAAATTTTTATAGTGTGACCAACTTGGAATTTCATTTTATGACTAAGTAAACTAACATATCGATATATGCATTTCGATAACATCGTTAATATCGATATTCTAAGATTACGCCCGTTGCCTCCCCCAGCAGGTATTTATTTGTGTTTCCGCACAGTGCCGGCACCAGTTTAGATTTGATCCCCAAAACAAAACGATTACGAAATAAGTAAGCGATATTATCTATTAATATTTGTTAATCAATTGTGAAGCGTAGTAAATTTCATTTGAGAAACAAGTGCGTGAAGAAACAGCACACAGCTGGTTCCATTTACTACCAGTTGTACTTTGTACCCTTTCTGCATATCAGCGTGAGCTTGCAGATTCTTATTGGCATACGTATAGTGCATAGCATGGGATATATTGTCATATACATAGATCAGTAATTGGTTTATTGTGCATCTGTAATTTAAAGAAAATGGCTGGTCGTTCGCTGGTATCCCTTATGTTTGGTGCACTGGCTGCTGCCGTGGGCACCTACATCTACTTCACGAATCAAGTAATTACAACTTCAACTCCATGAACCATAAAAAGAGTTTAAGCTCGCCACAAGTTTGTATGCATGCACAACAAAATACCGCGCGGGGGTACTAATAAGTTTTATCCCATCAGCGCATTTCTCACGATACTGCCATGATGCAGTATGGATGAGTCATTCGTAATTTCGATTTCTGTGACCTTCAAGAGTTATGCATTTGAACAAAATATTTACTCGCTAAGCTAGCTCTTAATAGTGTTGACAAATGATTTATTGCTACAAAAATCGGACTATTTGAAGAACAAGCTTGTATTTGCTATTAACCGCTTTACGATTTATTAAATTGATATGACTTATAAGATAAGATCTATTGAATGAGCTTGCTAAAATACGACAAATTTGTTATCATCGTTACTCATTCAATTTTGGAATTATTGAACATTGATCGGAATTTATTTCTACCTAATTGAACTAGCTCATTTTCATTGAAATTCTCAGCACTGATACGAAATGCCTGTTCGTAATTGACTGATTGAGCTATAATAGATAATTGTGTATTATTCGTCATTATTTGCAGCCATCTCTCTCGCTTCCTATTAAATATGTATATCAGACACATGCAAAGCGTTTCACGACAGGCATTCAGGTGCTTTCAATTATCTACAACAAGAACAACAAATCGTAATTTCGGTATAGCTGCCATATCAGTAAATAAATGCCCGCGTTATTGCGCTGTCCTTTTGCCATTGTTTGCGGTTGTCAGCAATGTCGAGTGCAGTGCGGATTTAGCAACGAAGTCACATTACTCCACAGCAGCTGCCGTGAGTAGTTAGTTAGTTGTTTTTTGTTGCACTAATAACTAGAGTAGATAAGTCAACTAATTTTGTCGGCGTCGTTTTATTGTTGCTTGCCTTTGGTCTTCATCAAAATTCTGTTGCTTTGCCTATCCTTTCCTACTTCTTTGCTTTCCCTCGATCAATTATAAAACCCTTTGGAACTCTCTTAAAGGTCGATATGTCGAACGGTGATTACAAAAACGCAGGCTCGATCTACGAGTTCAACGTAAAGGATACCCATGGAAACGATGTCTCCCTGGAAAAGTATAAGGGCCAGGTTATCCTTATCGTGAATATTGCTTCCAAGTGTGGTTTAACTAAGAATAACTACCAGAAGTTGACCGATTTGAAGGAGAAGTATGGCGAACGCGGGCTGACCATCCTGAACTTCCCATGCAATCAATTTGGCTCCCAGATGCCAGAGGCCGATGGGGAGGCCATGGTCTGTCATCTTCGTGACTCTAAAGCAGATATTGGCGAAGTCTTTGCCAAGGTATGCTCAAATATTTATATATATAAATTGAAGTATGCTAATTGAGCTTTCTATTTTGCTTATAGATTGATGTGAATGGCGATAATGCAGCACCTTTGTATAAGTATTTGAAGGCCAAACAATCTGGCACCTTGGGCAGCGGCATCAAATGGAACTTTACCAAATTCCTGGTGAACAGGGAGGGCATTCCAGTCAATCGGTATGCTCCCACTACTGATCCCATGGACATAGCCAAGGATATCGAGAAACTATTGTAGATATCCATACTCATAAACACATAGCATATAAGAGTTACATCTAAATGTCTACATATAACTTATACTGTTCTTGGCTTTATCTTATAAACTAGTCCGACTACAAAGTGTAATTGATTAATGGTTCAACATTCTTGCTAATATGTTCTTAAATAAACAGAAACTCTGAATTTTATTGCCTGAATGAAATGTGCTTATCTATATGTAAATAGTTACCTCCATGATGGCCATGCGTGCCTGCCTGTAGAGCTTGGCCAAGACGCCGACGTTCATGATGACCCCTTCTCTCTCATTTTTCGGCTTCCGCACCAATTTATAGTGTATCCAGACCATGTCATATTCGTGATTCGTCATAAAAAATATAGGTATATATAACAGGGCATAGATATATAAATATATAGAGATCGATTTTTGTTTCTGCGTTTGAAAAGTATCTGAAATTTGAAATTTTGGTTTACAAAATATAAATTTGTTTATATACACATATAGAATAGAGAGTTCGATTTGCCTACTCCCACAAGCATACAACATAATTGAAAAGGACACCAGAAGATTTAAAGTTGAGTAGGGACTTCAAAGTTATTGACCATTTGGCTATTTTCCCGCTAGCTGAGAAACATTGATTAGCGGGAATTATAGCTACATACGAAATGGTATCTTTTATCCTTGGCAACAAAATCCCAAAAAATATCCTTTTTAATCGATAGTTGCACGATGTACCTACATCATCTCTAGGATTTTTTAGTTTAATTTTAATTGAAATGGTTCATAATTAATAACTGTAAACATGTATATATATAGTTTTTTTTTTTTTTTTGTTTATTTATTTAAATAATTATGTATTTGTTTTGGGTGCAATTAATCGTTAAATTAATTAGTATTATTGTTTATATAAGTTTCATACACATTTATACGCACATGTATAATATATATATATATATTTGTTGTTTTTACTTCTTTTGCCTGTTTAAAACCATTTAACCATCGTCTTCTTTAATACGTCTACTGAGTGCCTGTTTTGTTTGTTGTATTCTTTGTCTTTTGTTTAATTCAACTCGTAATTCTTCATCTTTTTTTTTTCTTTTCTTTTATTTGTTTTGTTAACATATACACACACAATTGTTATAGTTTGTTGTTCTTTTACACATAATATTTTAAATAAATTATATCAAACTAATGCGAAACGCTTTTCTATTAATTATTTATTTATTTATAATAGTTAAAGTTATGTTTTTGTTTTTGTTTTTGTTCTTGAAATGTTTTATATGCATATGAGTTGTGAAAAGTGTGTGTGTTTGTTTGTGTGTGTTTTGTTTTTGTATTTGTTGTTTTCTATTGAACAGAACTTTTTAAATATTATTAAGCAATTGGCGACATATTTTGTACACGCTACGAATATTGCTAAAAAATACCTGCACATTTTTCTTCTTTTTTCATTACTTCTTGTATTTTTTAATATTTTTGGTTTTGTTCAATATATGTATATATATTTTTTGTTTGTTTGTTTCTTGTTGGCAAAGCACTTTGGGCAGGCGCTTGTTTAATTGTTAGATACTTGATTGTTTAAATATGTTAATGTTGTTGTTTGTTTAAACAATTCTATACTCCTCCACGTAGAATTTTTTTAGTGTAGATTTTTTTTGTTTGCCTATATAATCGTACATAGTTAAATAGTTTATGCAGCTAAGTAATTCCCTTTTCTTTTTTTGTTTAAATAAATAGTCAAATATAATTTTATTCATAACATATTTATATTAAGATATACAATATATTTATAGCCGTCTTTTACTTTAACCAAATTAATCAAACATTTTTAACAAATTGTGTGAGAAGCTCTTAATTTAATCGTTGAACTGTTTTGGTTTTTTTTATGTTTTTTGCATCCTTTTTTTTAATTGTGAACAATTTCTTGTTTAATCAAACAAAAATTTTGCAAATTATATTTCTTGTATATTTTTGCTAAATGTTTTTCTTGTTTTATGTATATATATTTTTTATTTCGACTACATTTGCTTTTGAAATATGTTTTTGCATATTAATTTCTTTAATTACTTTTGTTTATAGATAAGTAGATTGTTGTTCTCTTTTTTCTATATTAATTCAATTATATATATATATATATTTTATTTTTAATTTTTGGATTATACATGTCAATAATTTCCTTTTTGGTAACCTTTATTTAGGAACAAAAGCTTTGAGTTTTTTTTCTAGATTTTTGTCATGTAGAAACTGAGTTTAAAGTTTTGCGAATGCGAAAATGTTGGGAAGCAACCTGAACCTTGAATAGAATATATATATACATCATACATATATATATATATATATATATAGCTTTTTATTTGTCTATATATATTTATTTTTGTTAAGTATATGCATGAATTAATGTAACCATAAACAAATTAGCAACAACTTTTAACTTGTCCGGAGCGTCTTCTTAGGATTGTTTTTATTATATCATAATTATATTCTCTTTATACTGAGTCATAGTTCCCTTAAAATGTTTGCAATTCTCAAGTTAATTTTATTTGTATTTTTATTTCATTTTATTTATTTGAAGAGATTCAAAGATTTTATTTGGCTTTACAAGTAAATGCCATCCATAATTACTTATACGCCCCCATGGGAGCCTGCTCCAGTTCCGGCGTCAGCTGCAGCGCCTGTTCCGGCCCCATCATCAACCAGCGCCGATTGTCCGCCGGCAGGTGGCTGCTGTTGTTGCGGTGGTGGTGGTGGCATATACTGCGGATACTGTGGATACTGCGGCGGCTGCTCACCGCCTATGAGGCCCAGCTTATCTGTGAGTTGTTTGGAGAGAGAAAGAGAGAGAAAAGAGCGAGGTCAACAGCATATAAGGTAAATGTGTCCTTAATGATTTGCTCAATTGAATGACAATTACATTGATACGATTACAAATACGTATACGCCATATATAATACACTTCAATTGACTTCTAGAAGGGGCTGGGGACATTGTTAAAAAGCTTTGTTATGTTATTTGAAAGCATAATGATGAATTTCTCAGGTCCACATCTGATAAAGCTAAGATTAACTTTATAAAACGTGCCCTCGAATATATACAACTGATATTTGATTATTAAGCGTAGAATATTTCATGTTGCCCAACCAACTCGTAAACAAATTCGAGTTCAATAAATCTGATTTCAGTTACATTCAGTCCCCCGTTCAAACTGTTGGTGCATTAAATTTGAAATAAACTATCCATATACATGTAGGTATATATATGGAAAATAAAAACAGAACACATTAATTATATTCTTTTGGGAACAACATCAATAAGAGTCAACAGATCATGAAGCACACTCTCAAAATGTTTGAAATGATAACGGAATTTGCGCACAATAACGGTAACTCACACACATGCAGATAAAATGATAATCGATATTTTTGGTTGGTTTTGCTGTTGCTTACAGTGTTCGATAGTTTTGTTTTTGCGAATGGTTTGAATTGAATGTGTAATGTTTTCTTTTTTGGTCTGGTTCAATTGCAGTTATTTTTGAAATTTCTTTGATGTTATATTGTTGATGTAGTGCTGTTGGTTTTTGGTTTTTTGGTTGTACTTGTTGTTGTTCATATTATTTTGTTGTTTATGAGCGTATTTATTGTGCAGTCGCCACGTCATCCGTCGGACTCGGTGGGTCATCGGTCAATTTCTCAGCCAATGGAGTTTTCTCAAGTGTCGTTGGTGGTGGTTCGGATTTAAGTGTGTGGTGTGGTTGTTGTGGTGGTAGTGGTGCTGATTCTGATGCTGTTGCTGGTGCGGATGCATGAACCTGCTGCAAAGCAGGAGATGGCGAAACAGCAGCATCATCCGACATGAAAGGTTCTACGAAAAATTTGTGGAATTGCATTTTTGATACAAGCCATTAAAATCAATCGAACCAATGTTTTTAAAATTACTTCTTATGTGAGTGATTGTGTATTTACTAATTGTAAAAAATAAATAAATAAATAGCTTTAAGTGATTTGTGCACCTAGCAATAATATTTGCAACTGAAATATTTTGCATTTTCGGATTTTTTTTTTTTTACCTTAAATCATAATAGTTTAAAGAATTTTTGCATTTGAATAGTTCGTATTGGTAAACATAACATAAAGCTAAAAGCTTGCACAAATTTTTTGCTTTTATTTTTTATTTCTCTTCGTCTTTCTCTGTAATTGTTTGATAAAAAAAGTTTGGTGAGTGTACACAGTAAATGTGGGCGTGGCCGTTGGTGTTGGCATGGGCGTGGGCGTGTAAGTGGACATGGACATTGGGTGTGTATAGAAAAATAATCAAATAGTTGGGAAAAAACGTAACAAAAGAAATTAGATAAGAATGTTTTTTTTTTTGCAGTACTTTATGCAGTTGCTGCTGACCTTGGTCAAATACTCTATACAGATATATGTATATATAATTATGAAGGGCGTGGCGTGACGAGCTCGAGTATGTTACAAAGGGACATAGTTACTATCTAATATGTCAATAAAAAACAAAAAGAAACGAAAACAAAAACAAAACACTAAGTTTACGATATTACGGACTACGCTATCCATATTCCAATTACAATGAACCAGCACTAGTTCCTACAAATTAATGGGTACAAATGAATATCGTAAAGGTCATACTCGAAATATACTTGGCTTTAGCGGACACAGGGTGTTCATGGTGCTCAACCCAAACATATAGAGCAACACATACAAATACAAAGATACCATAATTACACTAAAAAAGACAAAACACGGCCTTAAATCAAATTACCGAACCTGGTGCGTATTATATATCGTATGGAACCAGATGATGTTGAACATTTTTTAGTTTTTAATTTTTTTGTGGTTGTTGGAGCGCATGATATGCTAAGTACAATTGGATGCAATGGCTCGATGAATCGTTCGATTTCTGATTTAGTTTTGTTAACGATTTCGATTAAGGCGTCAATTCAAATTTATATTCAATTTCAGTTTTGAAGCGAACGATCATCAAACGTACGACAGTTGAACTGTGAGTTTTGCTCTCTACTCTTTAGCAGTTGTTTAAATGAGTTTGAATTTGATATATAGTCGGGTTGATTTTGTTTAAGCATTTGTTTGTAACTAAGTTACATAGTAATTTATTCTTATAGTTAATTTTTAGCAATCTACATAAAGTTACCTAGAGAAAAATAAGTGTTTCGGAATAAAAAACAAAGGAAACAAATCAATTTAGTTTTGCATAGTTTTCAAAATTATAGACAATCAAATTAGAGCTAAAAGAGGTTTGAATCATTATAAATTATACAAAAATAATATTAACGTTTTTGGGTTTTGATTGGGGGGAGTGTAAAATTGTGTGTACTTGATCTGTGTGTGTGTATATATGGGGCTGTTTTCCTGGTTGGGTTATCGTATATGATGTGAGCACGATAAATGAATTTCCGCACGATTAACTTACTTGCTATTATGCCAACGATAACCAGTCCAATAACGCCCATTATGATCATCATCTGCAAAATGAATGAATGTGAATTAATATAAATTTATCAACTGCCTAGCGCAACTCACCTTCAAGTTTTGCAACCAGAACTTTCGTTTTAGTTTGCCAGCCTGCTGCTCGAATTGCGAGGCGCCCTGCTGCAAGGCATCGGCACGATCATCCAGCTCCGAGAGCTTGGCATCACGCTCCAGCACCTTTTCCACATTCGTGCGCATAATGTCTACAACCTGAGTGAGAGAGAAGCAGCAAGTTAATCAAGCGGAACATATATACATATGTATATACACATATCTATATTTGAGGATAGAGAGAGACAGAGAGAGAGAGAGAGAGAGAGGGAGGGAGGGAGTGCGGGATGCTTACCTCATCAACTTGAGCCTGCGTCTGTTGCAAGCGCTTCTGTGCCGCAATTTGTTGGGGATTGCGTGGTCCGCCCACAATCTCACCATCGCCGCCCTCGCCCGCCGGTGGGCCATCAACGGGTGGTGCATCGCCAGCTGCTGCAGCATCCGCCCTACAGATAGATAAGCCACATCATTAGTCATCCAATAATGGCGACTCTAATCAACTCCCCGCGGAGCACTCAAAATGATTTAAGTACTGGTCTAGCTAGGGTTATTGAGTTACACATGATGTGGTAGCAACATTTACAGAAAATACATCCTAATATGCGTGTGTAGGTATGTTAGTGGAGGAGCAAGTGCGCAAGTTCTAGACGAACTACTCCAAAGAGCTGGGCACTTACGGTTCCTTATTCTTGTCTTTCTTGCCCATGATTTAGTGTGTGCGGCTTAGAAAGTAATTAAAATCAAAAACAAACTTCAATAAAAATGACCTTTTAAATCCATTTTACATTTAGCATATGTATATATAAATTTTATGCATTTCATATGACTATTAGCATCCCAAGTAAAAAAAAAGAACAAGGTTTTTTTGCATGACTAACTCATGAGGCACGACAGCTTGTGTTTAAGTTTATCGATTTTGCGGTGCGGTGCGGGAAAGTTGCCATGTGATGCGATGGTATCGGCGGACAGGGGCACGTCCACCATCGTTGGCCGACGCAAAAGAAAAAGGAAAAAAATTGTTGGTGAGAGGTGGCAACGCACACAACAGATCCACAAATGTATCGCTCTAAGCATTGCAAATTGAACAAATACATTGTTGAGCCACTATTTATATGATACGTATTTGAGTGGTCATGCGGCGTATACTTTATTTTGTGTGTGTATACAGTGAAAGCTCTTGCGAGCGAACACCTACATATGTACATACGAGTCCTACAGGCAAACAAAGTTAACATTATGAATTTTACAATTTCAATTGTTATTGTTGCATTCCTCTTATGCTAGCAATTAACAGTTAGCATATTTGCTAACTATTCGAGTTGGAAAATATGTTTTGTATTTCTTAATGTAAAATTCCTTTGTGCGCTGGTAAAACAGCGTAGAATCTTTTGTCCAAATAAAAAGTGAGCTAAAGTAAGCACCGGTTCGCGGAGATGTCCGCCTCAAGGGCGCTGTTGATTAATAGACTTCTCACAGTAAAGCCTTTTGTTTGCGCGTAACGATTAGAGAGAAAGAGAAATCAATAATTTCCATTTACTTACATTGCTTTTTGTTTGGGTTTGGTGTTGTTGCTGTTTTAACAGCCGCTGCTGTTATTGTTGTTGTATTAACAAATTTGAACGTAGCCCAAAGTCTTCGACTCGGATTGCGATGACGGCTGACTGTGTACGTTGTCCGTGTCCCGTGGACTTTTATGCACTTGGCCAAAATGTCTTTCGTTGGGGGTTGCTGCCGGATGCCGGAGGGGAGGTCGCTGAGTGCAGCTAAACTCTGGCTGTTCGTTGTTTTTGTTATCGCTGGCAATGCTCTCTCGTTCTCCTCGCTCTCTTTCTCTCTCCCTTTCTCTTTCTTTGCTGACCGTTATATTCTGTTTCTCTCTCGCTCTCTCGCCTTCGCGCTCTTTGTGAGCTTTTCCTCAATGAAATCGCTCAGCCTCAACACACATCCAACAAACGGGGAAATAACTGGCAGGCAGATGCGTGTGTGTGAGTGAGTGAGAGAGTGTGTGTGTATGTGCGGGTACCACTTGCCACGACAACCTTTTGCAAGCAGCGCTGTGTGTGCAGGAATCCTCTGGCCCTTGTTGTTCAAACTGTAGGATGAATAAAGTATAAAAATAGTTGCATACTATTTTTAGTATTTGTTAGCTTATTCGTTCTGTTTATTCTATTGAATTGTTGGCCTCAAATGCCTTCTGCTTATTTAACGCCCACACAAACACATGCACACAAATTCACATACACCCGCACTCACACACTCACATATAGAACTTGGGAGTATTCAATAGTTTCTCATTTTCACATACTTATAGTTTAATACAAATGTTTATTGCATACTCCCAGGGGCACTTGAAACCATTTTTTATGGCTTTGCAAAATTGATTTGTGAACTTTTCTGATTCCATTTACACTTGGCTCTAAATTTGCTTGGCTTGACAAAAAATCAATGAAATTTTACACAACACAATTTTTTTGCTAACCCAAATCAAGAGCTTCAATCGAACAAGCTATAAATATATTCTGTTGTTAAACTTTGTTGTTGAATTAACACAAATTTAGGTGGTAGAATATATAATGTAATTATAAATTAAATACATTTGCGTAGCACAAAGAAAATTTTCACTTACGACGTTTTTAGCCAACTGCGAAAACTTGCAGCTTTTCTAACTGTTATGTGTATTTGGGAAAAAGCTCGCACAACATTTAAGGACGAGTACAAAAGCTCAATGAATCAGAACTAACGAGTAGCTTTTTCTTATCGTCCTAACTATATCAACTAACGGGTGGCATTGATTTCTACGACTTTAAGAGAGGCTTCCGGAACTTTGTCTGTATCCAAACACGATACATCTTCAGACAACGTCCCCGGTTGACCTGTAATCGTCTGTCCACTATAAGCTGCTCCTCCACTAGTCCAGCCTTGGTTTGCATGCTACGCAGTTCCTCTTCCGTAAAGAAATAGACCATAGTACCATCGCCACGCACATAGAAATTATCCTCCAGGCATTTGCCGCTCTTGAAGCGCAATTGCGCCAGATCGTAGCGCCCGTAGTCCCGAAACATCAGCAAGCCGCCTGGTTTAAGGTAGCGATAGCAATTATCTAACACACCCTGCATTTTCGACGGCTCTATTGCGGAGAGTACAAAGATCATGACAATAATGTCCTGTGAGTTTTCCTCGAATGGAACATTCCATTCTTCTTGCGTGGCATCCATGACAAACACCTCGCAGCGTTTGTCATCGAATTGCGGTTGACTGCGGAGTATTTCGATGGCGCGTGCCGAAAAGTCACAGCCATATATCCTCAACTGGGTTTCCGTGCTATATTGGAGTATAGGCAAAATGGTATTACCCACCCCACAGCCCAATTCAAAGATGCTGCGTGGCTCTGAGAGCTCGTTATTCGAAATGGGCGCCAGTTCGGGGAATTCCGTGAAGAGCCAATGGCGATCTTTGAAGAAACGATTATCGTGTATGCCATAAAACGAGTCCCAGAACTTCGGCGCATCCGATTGAAAGCGTTCTCGCTGATCATCGCTCATCTTAATAGTTGAATTCTTTGCGACAGCTGCTTGGGCAGCTGCCTCCTGCTCTGTATCCCATTCCACGTGGTCCCTGTAGAATACATTTTAGGCATTTATGTGTAAGAGTTATCTATACTCTGTATATACCATGCATTAAACTCGAACACCTCCCGCGCATCGCTGAGTATGCGATTACCAGCTCCACCCGGTTTCTTGCGCTTGCGGGTGTGTTCCCAAGTTTTGCTGGCAAAGCAACGTTGCAGATATTTACCAGGCGTTGTGCTTATATACATCGGCGTCATCCTTGAGCAAGCGTGTGCCAAACTGTGGACGCCTTTCATTGTCAGCAGCATTTTCTATGGGTTCCGTTGATTCGCTGCTCATATTCTCCTTCCTGCGAGGATAAATCCGAAATTAACTTTGTAAACAAACAACCGCGTTGCAGACGACCATATGGTGCTTAGTGTAGCCAGACTGCTATAATATGATTCTCATGTGGCAGCATTAGGTTATGCGAGCGCACCAAGTGAGGGTGTGTGTGTGTATATTAATCGACTAGCCTCCACAGCCTATCGGTTAGTATAACAAAACCGCAAAATAATTTCTGTTGTATGCGTTGTGTTGTTGACTGCAGCAAATTGAAACAATTTATAAATAATCAAGCCAAAGCATCTGATTAACAAACAAATACTTTTAATCAAAACGTTCATTGTGCAAGAAAACATTTCAAAATGATGAATGAGGCTGCTGCACTGGCCAATATGATACCCTACGACACAATTGGACTCTACGAACAGCCCAAGCCCCGTTTCATCTTTAAGATGCCACGGGTGGTGCCCGACCAGAAGTCTAAGTTCGAAAGTGATGAACTCTTTCGGCGTCTGAGTCGCGAGAGCGAAATCCGTTATACAGGCTATCGGGAGCGCAGTATTGAGGAGCGTCAGGTGCGCTTCATGAACGGTTGCCGCGAGGGACACACCGAGATAAGTTTCGTAGCATCTGGCACCAATTTGCAGCTGGTGTTCAATGCCAATCAGAACCCCTACCTGCACGACAAGGAGTGCGACTTTGACAAGGAACACGGCAAGGTGCACATCAAATCCTATTTCATAATGAACGGTGTCTGTGTACGGTTCCGCGGCTGGCTGGATCTGGAGCGTCTCGATGGTGTTGGCTGCCTGGAGTATGACGAACGACGTGCGATGCACGAGGATGCGATATTGCGTGACCAAATTGATCGCTACAATCAACGGCTTCGTGAATTCGAAGATACTAAGCGCGCCTATCGCGACAATCGCCAGGATGAGATGGAGGCAGTACGTCGGGGCGTTGCCTCCGGCGGCATTGGAGTAGGGGCCAGTATGTGGCGCCGTTAGTTGGACTTTTGGACGGCAACAACGCCGTCACAGCAGCAGCAGCTGCAGCAGCAATCACAGCAGTTGCCGTTGCAGCAGCAGCAGCAACAGCAGAATGAGACTCAATACCCAAATACTCAATACTTTATGGAAAACTGAACAGATGAACAAATGCTCTAATCCAAACTTGCCACCAAATGCGAGATTTGAATACGAATACGGATACGGACACGGACACGGATTCGCTTACGTTTAGATTCGCTCGAATAAAATGCTCGTAGACTTAGTTTTAGCTTTTAGTAAACTACTTAACGTATTCTTGTATGGTATTAAAGATAACATATTAATGTACAATTTTAGTGACGTATGCTAACTATATACATACTAATATACACATACATATATTTAAAACACATAATAAAACGTACTCATTATAATTCCGGAAATTCAAAGATGACGCGCTGATTCGTCATTTATTTATTAATAATTAATGAAAATAATTTACTCAAACAATTTACATTTCTTATAGCTATAGGGTATACCTTATACGTTATGGAGTTTGGCGTAGAATATTCCAGATATGATTTATAGATATATAACATCATATTATATCAAAGACTTTAGTTGACTTGATTCGGCTTCAATTTTGTTACACCTAGCTTGGGTAGCGCTTTCTCTGCCTCGAGAGCCCGATGTCAAGGAGTGGGGCGGTAAGTAACCTTCGCATAGCTTGCTTTTCGAACTGTCTCAAGGCCATACTGAATCTCTTTAGTCGAAGTGAATTGATTCTGAATTGCCGTGTATTTTCATTTGTATAATAAGCAGTTCAGCGATATTTTCCGTATCGTTTATATATATTTGATTAATGTATATTTTATAAACATGTTTAACACTAGAAATACAAATAAAGTTGCTTGGAAAAGTCCGACAATTAATGGGTACTAATTATTGTTGTTTCCGTTTAACGGAATTGCAGCGTGGAAATGCGCAGACCGATGCAATCCTTGCCAATTTGACTGACCTCGCAGACGGTGCAGAGATTGCCCTTGTACTGGGGATCGTAGGAGCTGCCACAGAAGGGGCAGGTCACCTCGGGCTTACCACGATAGAGCGGCTTCCAGCTGATGGCGCAGATGTTGAACGGATTGAACTCCTCATACTCCAGCTGGTGCTCATCGACGGGATTCACCTCGCAGGCCTGCAATATTTTGCGCACCTGCTGCGCCACCTCCGGCCGCGGAGCAAGCTCCAGCAGACGGCGTGCGAACGATGCGGCTGTCTTATAGTTCTTCAGCTTAAAGAACATATTGAGTGCGGTACGCAGAGTGAGAATCTGATGGACAGGCTGAAGCTTGCTGTGGGTGAAGTAGGCGGCCATTTCACAAAGACGCTTCTGCTCCTCCAGCGTGGACTTGGGCATGCCCTTGCGCACGGTTTCCATCTTGAGGCCGACAATGTATTCGGCACAGATCTTCAGTAACTGCTGCGCCTCGGCTGTGTCCAGCTTCGTCTCCACCACCAGCAGCGGAATACTTATAAGTATGGAGTGGAACTTCTCGATGGCCTCGGTGAACTTGCCCGCAGTGGTCAACTGATAGCCAGACTGCAGCCGGGACACCAGGTCATTCAGCTTGATGCCTAGCGCTGGGCGTTGGAGTTTCGGATTCGTTTCTGAGTAATTACGCAGTGGATATCCATTTAACGACTGCAGATTGGGGTTGGCGGTGTAGCTAGTGCGGGAGCAGGCGTAGTTCTGCAAGAAGAGCGTTTTGAAGGGCTTGAAATTGACCACACCCAGCTGATCGTTGAGTAGGCGGAAAGCACTGTTGAAGGCGCCTGCCTTGACATGATCGAGCACCAGCTGGGAGTTGTTGGCCCAGTGTTGGGCTGGCGATAGGCCCTTGTTGGGCGCCGCATAGTAGTTGCTGTCCAAAGCCGAGGCCTTGATCTTAGAGGCCAGCTCAATGGGTACCACCAGATCATCATCGCCGACATCCCAGCCACCGCCGCCAGCACCCTCATCCTGGGCCTCATCATTGCTAAGTGCATCATGCATCTCCTCATCGCCGTCATCATCTTCGCCCAAGCCGAGATCGGCATCAGCGCCCCAACCATCTCCACCAGCATTGTGCTCGTCCAGTGCGGCATCCGCGTTTATATTGAGTGCCTGGCGAGCTGTCGCACTGCTGCTGGCACGCGTTACCATGGCGCCTTCGAAGAAGCCCTTCGACACTGACAATAGTGGCCAATTGGTCTCCAGTTGCTGTATGGGCACTGGAGGCTGCAGCAGCTGCGCATTCGGATTCACCTCCGGCAAGTTGCTGCCCTCTGCACTGATGGTGTTGCCCAGAGATTCTGTCAGCTCATCCAAGCCATGAGTGGCTGCGGTCAAGTAGGCCAGCGATAGTTGTCCACAGTTCTTGAGAATGTTCACGCGTTCCTTGACATCGCCCAGGAGCAAGGCACCTTGGTACTGAGCCGATATATCCTTGCGTATTTCAGCAATCTTGTTCATTCTCTTCAGTTTGTCCAGATTACCAGTGATTAGATAGAGGAAGCTTAGCTTGTCGAAGTTCTTGGTGCGTTGATAGCACATCTCGACCACCTGATGATTGCCTTGAAGCAAAGCTGCCTGGCCCAATCTATCCCAGCAATCCTTGTCGTCCAGTGCCTTGGCCGCCTGCAAGGCGATCTCAATGTTGCCGCACTCCAGAGCCAAGCCGAAGCGCGTCTTCTCATCCTTGACAAAGTGCAGGGCCACCTCTGGATAGCCCTTCTGCTGCAGATACGCAATGATGCTCTGGCCAACTAGACGAGCGTTGCGCACCATATGCAAAACCTCATCGTATTTGCGCTGAATGAGAGCCAACTTGAATTTGTATTCCGTGGGATCGATGTGCAGGACACGGGTGCGACACTCGCGGTCCAAGCAGAACACCTGGTTGCCCTTGACGCGCGTCAGATAGATGGGCAGATCCAGAGTGCGTATGATGCCGTGATCTCCGTTTGTGATGGCATATTTGATATGATTGCTGGTCGTATATATGAACACGCCCGACTCATCCCAGGCGCCCGACTTGACGCGACAGTTCTCCTGCACGGTGCACAAGTACTGCAGCCGGCGATCGCAAATGGTTACCGAATGCTTGCAGAGCAGTGCGACCAGCGACATATCCGGTGACCACACCACATAGCGGCACTTGGCCAGCTTAATGCTGCCGACGGAGACCAAACGCTGCACCTCGTACAATGTGACATATTCCGGATCGCGTATGAGCAACATGCCTGTGCCGGCATAGAAAATCTCCTCGCAGAACGTTGGTATCTTCTTGGTCACTTCGTTCTTGAAGTTCTTCACCACCAGCTGCTGATTGCGATCGAGCACAGCGAAACGATTGCGTGCCACCCAGATGGCTGTGATGCCGGAGCTGCGCTTGCTGTCAGACTCGTTTTGACGATCGTTCTCGCTGTCCTTGGGTATCTGGCACAAATCGTAGGTGCTGTTCTCCAGATTGTTGGTGCGTGTGCAAATAAGCACGGCATTCAATGCTGGATTATAGGACATGCTGTAGACAGGCGACTTGCCGGGACGCAATTGCATCACAACCGTATCCTTGGCGGTGGTGAAATCCAACTTGCGTAGAAAACGATCTTTCACATAATATAACATGTTTCCGTGTACCGCGTAGGCGGGACGCTCGCGCTCCAACTTGAAGACCACCATGCCTGAAAAAGAACAAATATTTTAGACCTAGTTTTCAATTTAGTTAATGGTTGCTACTCACCTGCATCGTGGCCGGCAGCAAAAAGATTTAGTGTGGGATGTGCTGCCATAATCCAGAAGCGTTCGTTGTCCCGCCGGAATGTGAACAGGCACTGACGCTTGGTCATGTCCCAAACGCGAATACTGCGATCCTCGCCGTTCGAGATGATCAGATCCTGGCGTGGATGGAACAACACGCAGGACACATTGTTGTAGTGACCACGGCATGTATCCACCTCCCAGGCCTTGTACTCATTCATGCGCCAGAGCTTGACAAGGCGATCATCGGCACCTGATACGATCAGCGGAAGGGTTGGATGGAAGCTCGCCCAGTTGACACCGCGATCGTGGCCCTCCAGCACATGCTTGACAACCGCATCGGCCTGACCAAACAGATCTGTGGCACCGGGGTGACCCTTAAGGTGCTCATCAAGTCCTCCAGGACCAGGCGCCACATTCTTTTTACGCAGTCCAGATATGTCCCAAACACGCACCGTCTGATCCAGAGAGGCGGAAACAATTTGATCCTCAGTCGGATGGAACTGAGCACACATCACATAATGATTGTGCCCAGTCAACACACAGATGCAGTTGCGCGACTGCCAATTCCAGATGCGAATGGTCTGATCATCGGACGCACTCAAGATCCATGGATACTCGTGATGGAATGCGACTGTGCGCACATAATCCAAATGGGCCAGCAGCGTGAATATGCAGCGACGCTGCTTATAATTCCACACCTTAATCTTGTAATCGTCTCCGCCTGAGACAAACAGCGGCATCTGTTGATGGAAGGCCACACTGCGAACGGGGCCATCGTGCTCATCGAACTTTTCCAGCAGCGTGTGCATGCGGTAATCCCATAGCTGAATGACACCACTGTGCAAACTTGTCAGGATCCAGGGACGCTTCGGGTGAAACGAAAGACCCTTCACACGAGCCGATTTGGACTCGAAATTGGTCAACATTGTTGCAGTTTCCTTCACAGTTGCTGGTGCTGCCGTGGCGATGTGTTAACTTGTAGTCGGCTTTTCTTTGACGTACACTTACTCAGTCTGTGCCAGGCACTTTCTTGTCTAGAATTACACAACAACAATTGTTAGCATTTGTAGTAGTTTATGTGATCATAAATAAACATATTTAATCAATTTATTTCATGGTTTTATGTAAAAACACACACCAATTTTACAAATTTTTCAAGTGACACGTCAATTATCTTCTTCTATGCAGCAGCAATTGTAGAGTTGTCAACGCCCAAGAGAACAGCTGCTTATATCGATATAACATATCGTTACCCCATCGTTATCAACCGATATCACAAACATACTTCGTTACGATATTCGCTCACTTGTTTACAATTTTGGTGTTTATAAAATGTAAAAGTTCAATTAAAGCAAAATGACACTGGCACACCGAGCGCTTTTCACATGGTTTATAGTTTTAGTGTTCCTTATACTGCTCTGCTTAAGACTAGATCCACGCACAACCTGGAATTGGTTTGTCACCTTCACACCACTCTGGTTCTTCGACTGCATTCTTATAATTTACGTGCTCATCAAATTTATACGCAAATGGCGTAATTTGAATCGCCTCACTGACCTGCTCTCTCTCTACAAATGGAACATTGTGGGTGTATGGTTGACGATAACCTCTCAGGTGATGATCTGCATTACCCTGGAGTATCCGCAACAGATACCCATCTATGTGACCATGGCGCCTCTGATGTTGCTCCTCTGCACTGCCATCGTCTATGTGGGTGGAAAGCTGAGAAAGCGCGAAAGCTGGCTCCATTAAACAACAACTATTTATGTATTTATGTATATATTAAGTCTAAATGTAATTCATATTAAAAAGAAATCATGAAATCCAGAAATGCAAAGCGACTTCATTAAAATCCGTATTTGCTTTGTGTGGCTCGACGTGTCTGCCTATTAGCCGACCACATGGCCTGCAGTTCAGCTTCGTTCGCCTTCGCCTTGTGTGCCAGGTATGTTATTTGATGTTTACGTCTTGTGCCCGCCACTGGCTCCTCGTCCGTCAGCACGCCCGTTGGCTGGTATGTGGTGGCCGACGCCAGAGCTGTACGCATCCATTCCTCACGATCCGGCATCACTTGATCGCCGACTATGTCGATCACTTGCATTTCCTTCACCTCCTTACGTCGCCTCTTGGCATTCTTGCCCACGAGTGCATCCATGGCCTCAGCATTCAATTGTTGATGGTAGCGTTTCTGCGCATGTTGCAACTGTTCTGATTCCACTTGCATCGCCTCCTCTTCAATTGCCTTGCGTTCTTCCACCTCCGTCAAATACTTGTCGCTAGCTTCTTTCATTTTGGCTGCTCGCTTGGCCACCAGGGCGCTAATCTCGTTGCTGCTCACCTCTGGCAGTTGCTGTTCGCTGTTCAGTGAGAAAAAGTCACCAGCATTGGCTACCTCCTCCTCGTCCTCGCTGTCACTGACGCTCACCAGCGACACAGCTGGCTTAGAAGACTTGGATGGCTTTGCAGGCGGGGCTTTAAGTCCATCGACGCCTTCGGTATTGTGCGCAGCGCGTCTTTGTTTCACAGTATCTGGTACGAAAGCTGGCGAGGCACTGACCCTTGGAATATTCTTGCTGGCCTGTGGACCAGGCTCGTCTTTACTAGTTGGCTTCGATGCCATGGGCTCTGTTTTCTTGGCAAAATCCCGTTCAGATTTAGCTTGTGGTAAAATGCTCAGCAAGCCGCAACCCTTTGTGGACTTGAGTTGTGGTTGTTTGTTCTTCAGTTTCTCTGCCATCTCTTTGTCCACATCGGCATACTCCCTGAGAGATGGTATACTAATCTTTACGCGTTCCCTGGCCACAGCCAGCGGTGGTTTTTCCAATGCTTCGCTACCTGCAGCGGGAATGGCCTTTTTGTGCAAGAACTCATCGTCCACTTCTTCGATAATTGAGGAAACCTTTGCTGCAGCTTTTGGCATGGGCAGCTTGGCAAAGGCCTGCGTCACTTTATCATCCACCTTTTCCTGCTGCGGATTCGGGTCAGCAGCTGCTTTTGGCTTAGGCAGGTTAAGATGTAGCCGACCTGTAGTGCTCGCTTTCAACTCCTGCAAGGAGACTTCTTGAGGTATATAGTCATCGTCGTCGTCATCACTAATATGTCCATTGCTCGCAGTTGCCTTAACTTGTGGTGCTCCATTTTGAGTCGCAGCGCTTGGCTTTATTAGTTGTACTTGTATAGGCGTAGAGTCCTCATCATTATCTGATTCCTCATCACTGCTTGCCGCGTATGCAACCAGAGACATAGTTTATGATCCTATTTAACGTGAACCTTACAAAATTTGTTTGAATAAAATACAAATTTCTTGATGTGCGTTGTGAATGTTTTCAATAAAACATATCAGCTGTTCGTGTACATGGAACACCCTGTGGCGAATAATAATCGCAGGGCAATAAAACTGTATGGCAATGCCAAAAATGTTTTGTCTGTTAAGATTTAAAAATATCAGCTAGCGACTTTTTTCAAGAGTAAATTTTATTGGTAAGAGTTATAATTGAACACCTGGCAACAGGTAGCACTGTATGCACAGTACATAATAACTGCAGCTGTTAGCCATAAATATAGAAATTGAAAAGTCAGGTAGCTATCGCTGAACATGTAACCATATAAATAAGATTCCTGGACTCACCAATGATCAGTATGAATTTACGTCTCGAGCTGTTAAGGGATCAGAAAATGCATCATCACCCGCATCAGCTGCCACCCTATGAAGCAATGGGACTCTATGAGCAACCCAAACCGCGGTTCATATTCAAAATGCCGCGCGTTGTACCGAATCAAAAGTCCAAGTACGAATCGGATGAGCTCTTCCGGCGACTGAGCCGAGAGAGCGAGGTGCGATACACGGGCTACCGGGGACGCGCTATAGACGAGCGTCGCATGCGTTTCGTGACCGATTGTCGCAAAGGCTACGCTGAGCTCTCCTTTGTCCCAACGGGCACCAATCTTCAGCTCTACTTCAATGCCAATCACAATCCCTACGCCCAGGAGCAGGAGTGCGATTTCGACAAGGAACGCGGAAAGGTGCACTTGCGTTCCAATTTCATTATGAATGGCGTTTGTGTGCGCTTCCGTGGCTGGCTGGATCTGGAGCGCTTAGATGGCGTTGCCTGCCTGGATTTCGATGAAGGCCGCGCCCTACAGGAGGACGCCCAGTTGGCGGAACAGATCGAGAGCTACAATCAACGCATGGCTGACTCGAAACGCATGTATACACCGCCACAAGAGGCGATGCTACGTGGTCCAGGACCTGGTCCCGGTCCCGGTCCAGTTCCAGGAGCTCCAATGGGCTGGTGAAACTAGCTTGGAATCGATTCTATTAGTTCCTTAGGTTTACTTTAGCATTTACGTTTAAGGACTTAGTTTATTTTAATCGGAAATAAAAAGGCATGAAAAATAATCATAGTGTATATAGTTCATATAGTTCAATTCAATTTGATTTCTTACTAACTTCTTTCCTTAAGTGTTTTTTGAGTTGCTTTGCAGCCCTGTTGCCATTGTTTCATAAGGGTTGCTACACGGGGTCTTTGGCCTTAATTACACCTCCCAACTTCCCTAGGGGGGGGAACCACCCCAAAAAAAATACCCGTTCCAGCTGCGAGTTAGCTCTGCTTCACACTTTCCCTCTCTTATTCGTTCGCTCTCTCTCTCTCTCTCTCTCTCTCTCTCTCTCTCTCTATATTTCACTCTCTCATGGGCAGAGGGCGCTTTCCTCATGAATAACAACCCAACAGCCCACTCTCCCCTCTCTCTATCGCTCTCATTTTGATCTCGTTTGGCACTTGTGAGAGCGACAGAGAGAGAGGAAGAGAGCGGGAGCATATTGATTTTCTGGCACTCGGCCTTTTGGGATGCTGCTGATAGAAATTTTGCAACTGGTCGATTTTGTTTTTCAGTCTCAGTTTAAGTAGCAATTCGAACGCGTCTGTGCGGCCACACGAAGCAAACGAAAACTGCCTAGGGAAAGCGAGCAAAAATTGTTTATAGAAAATTATACATACCACACAAAGTGTTTTCGCCCAAACATTCAAATTTTGAATTTCATATAACTTTGGGTTTTGTTTCTGTGTGTTTCGGTGTGCTTTGTCCGTCGTGGTCGAGTAAGAAGCTGCGACGTGCGCTAAATTTAGCGACCGGTGTATTATAGGGTGATGTATGCTATATGAATTCGAGTCCCAGTATCATCTGGCCACGCCTCCACGCCGTCAGCCGCTCTCGCACGAGAAGCGCGCCCCAAATTTGTGATTTCAAAATAGTATTCATACAAATTATGTGCTCAACGCGAGCAATCCAATAACAACAACAACAACAAACAGATATTATAATAATTAGTAAATATTATAGACAGTTGGGCTTTTAGTGTCTGTGAGTGATTTAAAGTCAAGGACCATAAACAAAATGCCAGCCTCGAATACGATTGTGCTCAAGAGTTTGTCCATATTGCTGGGCCTGTTCTTCATATTTGTGGGCACGCTGAAGCTAACGCCGCATATTAGCAAGGATCTCTACAAGGATCTGGTAAGCATGAAAAATCAATAGATACATATTAAGCCAAATGTATGCGCGGTTATATCACATTGTTTACCTTGAGTCGGCATTTCGGGTGCGGCAGCTCTTATCGATTTTTCATGCCGAGCACAAACGGAATTTAACCACCAAAACATATCCTCGTTCATATATAACGGGTTTCTTATATAACTGGGTCAGCTTTGTAGCAGTGGGCCGAGGGTAGAGTTTAAATAATAAATAAGTTGTCTAAGCAAATGAGTTTTGTTTGGCTAAGAGATACGAGCTACGAGTACCGGAGTACAGGGTGGGATTATGAGATATCCATTAGAGTGTTTTTATGCTAATTAGAAATAGAGCTATTATTATTATATACATCTTTCCTAATCAAAATTGGAAGTCTATTCTACTTACTAGATCTAGATCAGTATGCCTACAAAAATAGAGTTTACGTTTTATCTTGTCTTGATTTGAAGCAGTGACAACATTCTTATAAATATTACAGGTTAATTTAATGATTGTTATTTTAAAATGTCCAAAAGTTCATTATGTTGGCTGTAGCTATAATTATAATATTTATAACATAGCACTCAGGAAATATTACGGAAATTCTTAAAATGATGACAGACTAATAGAATCGTCTAGCTGCACCATTGAACTCGACCTCATCAATGCCAGGCGGCTGGCCTTCATGAAAACTTTTTTGAAACGCAATGATCTTCAGGAATATTTAGATATATTTAGGTATATATAGAAATATATACGAATGTATGTAGCTATATCCCACAGAAATATGTTTTTATCAGCCAAACAGTTTGCAGTTGTGTTCATAATAAGTAGATGACGCCAAATCTGGACCACATTTATAGCTATATTTACATATATATGTATGTATGGCTTCTATCACTCTGGACTCTGCACAAATGATGTAGATCTATAAACATACATATGTGTAAGTGTATTTGAATACCCTGGTTTCATTGAAAATGGGATTTAGTATGTTTAGTATGTAACAGGCGGAAGAAGGCATTATAAATCGACGACATACATATATGTATATATAATTATACTCCTTTATAGATATAGATCGATTATATCCTTCAGATTAGCTGCATAGGTTTCTGTGTTTATTTTCGATGTGTTTAGCTGTTTTTTGTATGTACAGAAAGTGATTGTAATGGCTGCGCTGCTCAGGTACATATATGTTTAGGGTATCTCTTAGTCGAGCACTCCTCGCTAGAGCACTCTTGTTTCACTTGTAATCACTGCTCATGGAAATTAGCAAGCATCAAAATGCGTAGGCGCCCGTTTTTGTTGTGTAAATAATTTTGCTGTTCACGTGCTAATATACGTATGTATGTACGTATATGTATGTATGTACATATATAGCTACATAAAATATGTATAAACAATAAGCATTAATGTGATTTGCTCTTATTTTGTTTACAAATCTCTTAAAAAAGAAAACAATTTTTAGGTTTTGCATTGGGAAATTTTAGAAAATATACAAAATTATATATGTATTTATGTATGTATGTACATATATTGCATACTATGTAAAGTAATTTGCTGTGGTATTTGGCTTACAGCACGTTTTCTATTTGATTTGTTATTGTTATTCTTGTTATTCTTTTGGTTTGGTATTTGATTTGCAACGCTTTTCAATTTATAGCCCAAGCGCAGCTGTTGTTGTTGTTGTTATTGTTTTTGTTGTTGCAATGGTTTAGCCTTTTTAATTACACCTTCGTGTTGAGAACCGCAAATGGCGAATGCCAAACAAAATAAAATGAAATAAATTCAAATAGAAATTGAAATTGCGAGTGTGTATGACAAGCAACATTTGGGTTTGCGACTTTTCTTCTATTTTTTTTATAAAAATAAACATATTGCATCGTCTGTCAACATACTGAGGAAGAGAAAGAGAGAGAGACAGAGATCTGCTAAAATGAATGAATATATGTATATGTGTGTGTATGTATGTAAATGAGTTCTGGCTAAGTGAGCTCGTTATTTAATAGGCAAGTGCCAAAGTGAGGATCGATGCTCGAACTATTTGCGTAAGCAGAATATATGATTAATGAATAAATTGTATACAAAGCTATCCAGGAAACATCTAGGCTATAAGTAGAAATAGAGAGATAGAAAGGAGACAAGCGAGATTTCAGCTGGCAACAATATTTTTACAACTTTTTCGTATCCTTTATGATCTTAAATAATGATAAAAATTTAGCCAATTTCTCCAACATAAAATTCGTATTAAGATCGGAATCTTTCAGCCTACCCTCGCATTGCAAATCTAATTTAATTTTCATTTTCCATTTCACTTACCCTTGCAGCGCACAGAATACGTGAAATATGCCAAGGTATTTCCGTTGACGGCTATGTTTGGCATTAAGATACCCTCGAAATGGTATCGACGCACCGTCGGCATCTTGGAGATTGTGTGTGGACTGGCCATGGCGCTGATACCCTATCGTAAGTAGAGTAAATAGTACGCCTTACCAATGCATATGAAACCTGTCGACACTCTCATCCGCAGACAAGATCAAGAATGTGGCGAATGTACTGCTACTGCTGCTGATGCTGTTGGGCATCTACCAGCATTGGATGGTCAGCGATCCCTTCGAGCGTTCCGGACCGGCGCTGGTGTTCACATTCATGTTGGGCGGCCGATTGGTCGTCTGGTATCAGACCAGTCGCAAGGAGGCCGCTGACCTGTCGGCCGTCAATGCACCGCAAGCGAATGGGCTCAAGCAGGAGTAGATAATGCCACGGATAACTAGATTTTTGATCGTACATATAGTCGGAATCATTAATTCAACTCATAGACGCACTTGTAAACAGCTTTCTTTTAGCACAATTAGTTGAAATTTTTCGAGCTCAATTGGCGACCTTAATACATAACATATAATACAAGCTATTAACGAAACAACTCTCATTTATAGTTATAAATTAAATCAAATTTTTTATATAGAATAAAACAAAATTGAAACGATTCTTTTTCACTTTGGTGCCAAAGAATAAACAGAAATACATACTCGTATATATATATATAAATAATATACATAAATAAATTGCGAAAAGTGTTCAAGTTATAAATATTAATAAACGAGTTATAGTATAGCTATAAAAAGACAAAGAAAGACCAGAATCCTTTTGCAATACGGCACTCATGTTGTAGTTGTCGCAGCCATCAACATTTTAGCAACAATTTTAATAAATTTTTGAATAACTCATATTCATACATATACATATACATATATATAATGCTGTTTTAAACAATTATTCAACATCAGTCGTCGTCTTTCTGTTTTACGTCCAATAAGCATGGCCAGCAAATTCTTCAGAGATTATTATTATTAATTATGTGGTTTGAATGGTGCACGTGCTCCAAGCTTTAACTGTGTGGGTGTGTGTATGTGCTTGTATTTTTAGGCTAACTTATTCAGCGCCAGTGGTGAGCAGCTTCAATGCCTTCTGCAGATTCTCAATCGCTGTCTTCACATCATCATAATTGAGGGCGCTGCCTGCATACTTGCAATACTTCTGGGCGGTAATCATTTGATCGGGAGTTATATTGACTGGCACAGCCGGCTGGAAAATTGCGGCATTCGGTTGTGCTGGGGGCACATATGGCTCAAAGCCACCTGGTTTCTCCTCCTCCACCGGCGGACTGGGCAATTTGTTCGGATTATTCAGCACCTCCTCGACTGTGGGAGGTGTTGTTTGTGGAGCCGGCGAGGACGGCTCGACGTTGTCCGACTGCGAGTCAGTAGATGGCTCTTCGGGCGCTGTCACATTGGTAGCGGCTTCATCTTTGACACCAGCTGGACTTTCGCCATTTAGCTCTGCAGACTCGTCATCTGGAAAGGGTCCGGGTATGGGAGTCTCGCCGTTCTTCAGACAGTTGTGAATGTATGCAGCCTTGTACTTGGCGTATTTACGATTGTGAAGCGCCTCCTCGCTGAGCTCACCAAAGGTCAGCAATATGTCGTAGAGAACGCCACTGGAATAATATGCCTTCACGACGTTCCTGACAATATGAAAAATTAATATAACGTAAATTCATCCAAATTGAACTTCCACTTACTTGCCAAAGTTCTCCTCGCGATCCTGCTTGTCTGCATATAAAAATAGTTTCAGGGCATAGTTCTCAATGTGCGCCTGGGCAGCTATATCGTTGGTTATTGCCTCGTTGTCTGCATGCGTCTTCTTCATCTGCTCCAACCAGTCCATAATAGCTGAGAGCCCAATCAAAACAAATAAAATTATAGATGAGTCATCGGTGCAAAAGAATCATATATCATCTTTGTACGCTTACCTAACAGCAATTGAGTCTCCTCTGCGCTTTGAGATGACGCTTTCAAGCCAATTTGCAGCGCACTTTAGAATTAATTAACAAAAACATTTTGTTTATGCGAAATTCACTAGCAGGGAAACCCATCGCTCATCTACTTACTAGAGCCTTGCCCAGTAGGCTATGACAATGTCACGCGAATCATGCTCCTGGGCCAGCTTCAGAAAGTGCTGTATGGACTTCAGTGAGTTCGGACATGGGGGAAACTCCATCTTTGACGTGCACAGCAAATATCTTTCCAATCAATTTCTGAGCTATTTCTTTGAACGCAGTAAAAAGATTATTGTGAATGACAGTGTTGTCAGAAAGTCTTATTGAAAACTGTGTGACCAGCTGTTATTTTTGAATATGCTGTGTAAACAGGTGTGGTGACACTGGCAGGGCTGCAAGAGAAAAACAAACTCAGGTGAGGGAATTGCTCAGTCTTTAAACGCCGTTTCTATCAAGTGGTTAGTAGCACAAATGAGTTAAGAGAGCGTTACCCCATAGATGTTATCAAGAATAAGCGGCGTACTTTGTACTTTGGTCTGCTTCTAAAATATAACTTATAATTGCAATTTATCCTTTAGCAATCGCATCATGTCACTTTCAAAGCCAATTTATTCGCTCTTCGGCAGCTATTTGGAACAGCTTTTCAATCATCCAGTGCGCACGAAATCCCTAACAGCGTAATTATTGATGGATTTATTTTAAACGGAATTAACTAATCTAAAGATTTTGATTGCCTGCAGCTGCTGCCTGGCCACCACGGCAAATGTTACCGCTCAGCGTTTGGCGGGCGCAAAGAAACTCAACCAACAAAGCCTCTTCGCTTATGGTCTATTCGGCCTGATCTTTGGAGGCAGTGTGCCGCATTACTTCTATCAGACGGTGGAGCGCTTGTTAAGCCATGATTTTCGTTTCAGAAAATTCTTTATATTCCTCTTTGAGCGCTTAGGCTATGCGCCGCTCTATCAGTTGCTCTCGCTGTATTTCCTTTCGATATTCGAGGTGAGTTTTGAAGCTTAGCGAGATGGATACGATTTAAGTAATATATTTTGTCTTGCAGGGCAAATCGCACAGCACAGCTGTTAAGAATCTGGAGAAACTCTATTGGCCCGTATTGCGCGCCAATTGGCAATATCTGTCGGTGTTCGTCTATCTGAATATTGCCTATGTGCCGCCCATGTTTCGCTCCGTTAGCATGGGCATAATTTCCTTCATCTGGGTGGTGTTCCTGGCACAGAAACGTCGCCGCTTCCAGGAGAAACAAGCAGCTGCCAAATCCACATAATCGCAACCGCCAGCTGTTTATCTAAATATATATCTGTGTCTTTATCTGCGTCCCAAAGGTTCTCAAGCGGGAATAACTTTGTTGTTTTATGTATGAGTGAATGTGTATGTGTGTGTGAGCGTGTATGAGAGAACTCGAGGGTCGCTCTTATCATCTGTGAAATTCAAGCTAAAAACCTTAATAATTTTTAATACATTTTTATGTACAATAAACAATGTTTGCATTTGAAATGGCAACAAATAATTTTATTTAAAAACGAAGCCTAGAAACTAGCAAATAATTCGAGTATATTCGATTATAATTAAAATCAATGATCGTCTCTACAATATTGTTTAGCTACTGAGAATCGCAAAAAGGACAATCCTTTACATCTTAGTCTTAAGGGCATGTGTCTAAGGGAAAACAAATCTTATACTGCACAACAATTAGCCTAGACATATTATGTAGAGAATTATATATGTAAATTGTTGCTTGCATATTGCGACTAGGGATGTTTGACTAGTTGAGAATTACTTAGAGTAGGCGGGGGATTCCCCCTTCTTTTGCTTTACAGTTCGCCGCACATTTTGCGCAGCGAATCGGTTAACACTCAAAAGGCAATCGCCGAAGGACTCCGACTATTGTGCATTGGTGTGCCAGCCATGGGTGTGTCCGGCGAGCTGCCGCGGCTGAAGCAACTGGAGCAGCAGCTGGATGCATCGTTGTCCATATGCTCGTCGCCGTCGCCGTTGTTCATGCCCTCCCCAGACGCCTTGTGGTGGTGATAGGGTATAGGTCGCTTGCGAGCGCTGCAAAATAACAAGTTGCACGAGATTAGATAGAGTTAAATAATTGCGATTGCACTACAACAAAATAAAAGCAGCAAAACTTACCAAAAAACAGAAAATCATTTCAATCAATTGAAATCATAAACTAAGTCCTTTAAAAGAAAATCAAATAATATACAATTTGGCATTGATATAATTTATTTTTGTGCTGCGTGTGCTTGAGCTATTTGGACAAATAATTGCAATTATAATCGAAATTGAATTCAAATACAAAATGCACAAAGCACACGAAATAAAGTAAGCTACACATACGGAATATACATTGAAAATGAGAAATATTATGTAAATGATAATTCCTGAGTTAGCTGTAAGAAAAGAAAATTAAAAACAAATCATATCAAATTAAATCAAGTCAGGTAAATCAGGTGCTCTAGAAAGTTGGAAATGAAAATGCAACTGAAGCTGGATAACCTGGCTAACGTCTCGAGCTGCGGGGCGAGCGACGGCTACAAAAAATTAAATTAATTTAATCAAATAAATAGATTAAAATCAAATAGATACAAACAATTTCAAATGAACCCTGCAGAGTGAGCGAACAAACAAATATTATGACATATAATAATTTTTATAAAGTTTAAAAATATAATATAAATTAATAATAGGTAAAAATCTATTGAGTTGTGAATATACTATATTCGGTATTTGAAGATTTAATACTCTGCTACCAATTATATTGGAAATTATTTTGCTATAGGTTTTACCGATAAGTGACTGGGGAGGCCCTCAACAATGCTGAAGCTTTATCAAATTAAAATTACTTGACAGGTGGAGAGATAAAGTAGTTATATAGTATATAACCCTCTATACAAGATAAATGAGACAGGTATGCAGAGTTCTCGTTATATATAAGATATATTATACACAGACTAGTCTTATAATATATGCATAAAAGAGACTTATACAAATTATATATTAAACTATCACTCTGCAAAGTTCGTAAAACTAAATGAAACTGAAACTAGATAAAATGTGCATTAGCGGCTTCTACCTGGTGATGCGACGCCTGTCTAGAAAACTAGGCGAGCCGCGACGTCTGGGTATGGATGGTGAGCGCGAGCCGGTTTGTGATGAGCCCGAGCCGCTGCTCGAGGAGCTGCCGGAGCTGCTTCTTGACGAGCCGCTGGAGCGTGATGAATGCGAGCCGGAACGGGATCTGGAGCTGCACGAGCCGCTGCGACTGCTCGATGAGCTATAGCGACTGGATACACAGGGAGAGAGATATAGAAAGAGATTAGCTAACCATTCAAGGCTTTCGATTTGATGACAACTTACGATCGGGAGCGACTGCTGGAGCGATGATGCCGGCTGTTGCTCGAGCGTCGCTTGCTGCGACTGTGATCGCTGCGACGCGAACGGCTGCGACTGCGTCGGGCGGCGCTCTCCGCTGCTGCCACCGTTGCTGTCGACACCTTAGAGACAATGGCATCCACCAGAGTGCTGTCGGCGAGTGCGGCGACTAAGGGCTGTGGATCGTGAATTTTGAACGGTTTTATAACAATTTTCGGTTTCTGTTGCGGATTATGATGATGATAGCTAATACTATTGGCCGCCACCGCAGCGGCCGCTGCAGCCGCATTGAAGCTGATGCCGCCCGTGCCGCGCCCATGCTGAGCCGGATGGCCAAGCAGGGCCAAGCCAGCTGCAGCTGCCGCAGCCGCAGCAGCGCCGGCGCCACTGCCACCCAATGACAAGAGACCACCACCATGTCGCCCATGATGATGATGATGATGCACATGATGGCCACCAGCGGCGGCGGCTGCCAGCAGCGCATGCTGCGGCCCATGGCCATAAATATTGGGATTGTACATGTTAAGACTACGCGTTAGATGGTGCTGCTGCTGCTGCTGCTGATCCCGCCGGCTAAGCAACGGCTGCAAGCCACCGTTGTTGCCGCTGTTGCTGCCGTGGCTGTTGTTGTGCTGATTCTTGCAGATGTTATAGTGCGTCGCGGTCAGCAGGGGCCCATGGTTCAGCCGGTTCGTTGTGCGATTGTAGGTGCCGGGCGTGCCGGCTAAAAAGGGCAGCGCATTGTTGTTGGGATTGTTGCTAGCATGATTAGTATGAGAAACACCACCGGGATTGAGAGGAACACCACCACCACCACATACATGACTATTGTTATTGTTATGGTTAGTATTGTGTCTACTGTTGGGATTGTTATTCAGCGTGCGGTTATGAAAGATGCGCTTCGTCTGTGGATGCTGTTGGGGTCTGTGATTGAATTTGGCTATTGTTGCTGTTGGAGTTGCTGCTAACGTTGGGTTAATTATTGCAGTTGCAGTTGCAGTTGCAGTTGCTGCTGTTGTTGCTATTGTTGTTGCTATTGCCGTCGGATTGGCTGGGCTCTTGGCACCGCCGTTGGCCGCCATTTGGGGCGCTTTGCTAATTGGCGGCGTACGCGGCTCAGCTGCTGTCGCAGGAGGCGGCGGCGTTGTTGTCGTTATCGTTGTTGTTGTTAGAATCGTAGTTGATGTGGTTGTTGTTGTTGTTGTTGTTGATGTTGGCATTGTCAGTGGGTTATTAATTAAAGCGGTCACATTGTTAGCAACAAGAAATTCACTTAGCGAATTACGTTTGGCGGTGGCCAGCACCACACTGTTAGTATCGCCACTTACTTCGCTGCCAGCGTCCGCGTCCTTGGCATCGCCATTCTTTTCCATTGTTCTTATCTTCTGCTTGGCCTTGGCCGCAATGCCCGACTTGAGCTGCTCGAGCATGCGCAGCTCCTGCTGCTCCTCGCGCTCCCGCTTCGACTGCTGGTAATCCTCTAGAGCTGCAGCGCTCAACTCCGTCTCCTCCTCGCCGCCATCGTCGCTCTGGGCACGCAGCCGGACGATGGGCGTGGGCTTCGTGTCTTTCGACTTGGACTGCTGCCGCTTCTTGTCCTGCAGAATGTCCTGATAGCGCTCGGGATTGCGCTCAGCCGGGGAATAGCGCAGCTCTGAGGAGTCGGAACTTTCGGAGCGACGTCTTATCTGTCTGGGACTTGGCGTACTGCCCTTCCCCTTGTCTTTATCCTTCTCTTTTTTGGGCGTCTTCGGCTTGGTGGGCGTGTCCCAGCGTTCGCGCTTCATGTGGCTGCCCTTGGCTTGCTCCCGCTGCTTTGGGCTGCTCGGCTCGCGCTTTACCTGATCGGGCGTCTGGCTTCGGCGTCGCTTTCTCGGCGTGGGCGTGCCTGGCTCGCTGTGGGAGGAGCTGCCACTGGAGCTGGACGACGAGGAGCTCGAGCTGGACGTTGCACGCTTGCGCTTCGTCTGCTCCAGCGCCACCATCACCGACTTGGTGCCCAGTATATCGTTCACAGTATCCTCGGCGGCCTTGAAGGGATTGAAAGCGGGCGCTGACGCCGTCTTCTTCGATGCGTCCGGCGAGCGCGTCCGTTGCTTACTGACTAGCGCTGGCGAGGGTGTGCGCTGCCTTTTATGCGATCGGGAACGTGAGCGTGAACGACGACCGCCACCTCGTTTCCCCTGAGAGGCTGAGCGACGCTCGTGACGACGATCTTTGTTGCGCTCTTTGGCTGCATCGCTCGAGCGCTGATTGCACTTGGGTCGCTCTTTGGAACGCAATCGCTCTTTGGAGCGCTGTCGGTCTTTGGAGCGCCCACGTTCCTTAGATCGTTGTCGTTCTCGTTCTCGTTCTCGTTCCCTTGACCGTTGTCGCTCTCTCTCCTTCGAGCGCTGCCGCTCTTTCGACCGCGGCCTGTCCTTTGATCTTTGTCTCTCCTTGGAGCGCACTCTCTCCTTTGATCTCTGACGCTCCTTGGAACGTGCCCTCTCTTTTGATCTGAGTCTCTCCTTGGAGCGCACTCTCTCCTTGGATCTAAGTCTCTCTTTAGAGCGCTGTCTCTCCTTTGATCTCTGTCGCTCTTTGGACCGTTGCCTTTCCTTCGCACGCTGTCGCTCCTTTGACTGCTGGCGCTCCCTAGACTTCTGTCGCTCCATGGATCGGGCTCTGTCCTTTGACTTGAGGCGCTCCTTGGAACGCTGACGCTCCTTGGATCTCTGTCTCTCATTGCGCCTTGCTTCCTTCGAGCGCTGTCGTTCCCTCGAGCCTAGCCTCTGCTTGGAGCGCTCTCGCTGTCGCTCCTTGGAGCGCGTTGGCTTCTCAGTCTCTCGCCGCGGCGGCGTTCGCGTCGATTTATCTCGCTTCTCTCGGCGACTGTCCGTGGAGGAGTCATTGCGACGCGACTTCTTGTCCCTGCGCCGCTCGGTCGAGCGCCCGCGAACGGGATTCTCCACAGGTGTGTCCTTATCCTCGCTA